AAAAAGAGCAGTAGACTGGTCTCTCTCGAACTTACTTCTCTGCAATCAGCTAAGAGGTTAAAAATTTATTTAAAACTCTTCTGATATGAGACTTCTGCCTCATCCACCATATAGTCCGGACCTCGCACCATCGGATTGCTGTTTATTTAGATCCATGGCCCATCTTCTTCAAGGGAAAAATTTGATAATTTTTTGGAAGTTAAAATTGCTGACCAAGAGTTCTTTGACAGCCATCACAAACAATGGTATCAGCCTGGGATCAACCAATTCTCAAGCAGATGGCTCATGACGGTAGATAAAAATGGACTATACTTTGAGTATTAATTGTATTTTATATTAAAGAAATAATAAAACAAATATTTGGTTGAAAAATGGTCATTTTTTTTATACACCCTATTGTAATATATAATTAGCTAAATTATCCGTCATAATTATGTAAAGTTCTACTTTTGAATATTTAATTACCATATTTTCTATTTTATATTAAGTATATATAAAATCTACTGCTACTAGAGATAAATCTATTGTTCTATGTGTGCTATATATGGCTTACAAAGTTCTCGAGTCCTTCCAACTCTATTGTGAAAAGACTGGCACAGTTTTAAGGCACTTATCTAAGGCGCACTTACTGCTTAACTTACTTTTGGTTTCCGCGACTTTCTTACGTCAAGTCGTCGAATTTATATAAAGCTCTCGGTCTAACAGAGAAATCAGTAATATGGAGGAAAACAAATGAATTCGTTAAGTTGATGAGATATATAGACAACATTAATTGTGAAATATGTGCCTACCATGAAATATTAATTGCCTATCACATTCCAAAGCCATTATATTCTTAAAATTTACCACGTGGAAATTTACGTGATAGAAGAGCGCGAGATAAACAAGAACACTATTTGCTCTAATTTTCTTTTAACTTTAATCGTACTCTTGTTAGTGAGGAAGAAAATATCAACGAAGTGCATACATGACAAAAAGCTGAGATGAGTGCATTTGGAACTTTGAAAGTTTATAAAATGTTTTACTTCTTTATGACTAGTAAATAAATGGTGCCGTAAACAGAACTCAATTAACAATTTAATAATTATAACTAATTTAGAATTTTTTTAATCATTTATTTATTAAAAATATAATAATATGTCACGTGGACAATAATAATTATAGTGATATATGAACACATTCTCACCATATATACAGAAAACATAAAATTAACAAAAGTAAAATAATAACTACGTAATAAACAGTAACTACGTACAATAAAAAATAAAATAACCTTTTTTATTAACGAAATTTACAACTGTAATTAATAATAAATACAACAAGTAAATATGAACAAGTAATATGAAATGTACAACATGAGGAGAAACTACCCATTGGTAGCACTCCAATAAATAACCTAAAGAAAAAATTAGAAAAAGTTGTAGTAAAACACGTTTAATAAATAAAAAACATAATAAGAAAAGCTTTAGAACGTAAATATCACTTATTTGTGTTCCTTTTTTTAAATAATAATTTTAGGGTGGTCTCTGGTTCCGAATTTGGAATTGCATTGGATACTACTTTCTTCTTCAGATTTAGAACTTCCCAATCTGCTTCAATTTAATACCGAAATGACTTATTTGGCTGAGCATATTTGGTCTGCACTTCAATACTGTTATTTTTTAATACTGCAAGTGTTCTTATTTTTATTCATCATTACTAACATTTCGTTAGTGTTCCAACTCTTCTAGTTAATTTCATTTGAAATTAATTAAAGTTGTCCTGTTTACACTAAATTTTCAGTTCGATGGCTGAGAAGCGATATCTTGCAACTGCATATAAAGCAGATTTCATGTTCAAATATCTATAACACAAATCGTTTCATAATACGTTATATTTATAGGTGAGTCTGACATTTGTGAATCATGAAATACTATGAAATCTGATACCTAATGAGTAATCAAATTTTGGTATGGTAACTAGTATTATGATTGACAACAATTGATGTAAGTTCAGGAACTGAAAACTTACAAAAAAACTATTTTTATTGCCTTTCAAAATAGTTTTATTTTGTCTCTTCTGTAAATAATACATTTTTTATATCTTGGTCATCAAATAATCAAACCTTTATGAAAATAATAATCTAAGAAAAGAGGTATTACACCATTACAGTGATTCGCTTTATATCAAATCGTGTTGGCACTGGACTGTTTATAGATAGTAGACAGTTTATAGCATCTCCTTGGTTATTTATAGACTATTAGTACGTAGTAGTAGTCTTTCGTACTGTCGCGGCAGCCTTCAGTTGAAATGGACATGAAATAGTAATGAATAAGAAAAAAAATCGCTCAAAATACTGAAGTTGTTGAATTGGTCATAAACATGACAATGACGTGTTTTTTCTGAAATTAATTTTTTATCAATTAGGTTCTTATTTCATTATCTTTAAATCAACTGATTGACATTAATTAATGATGGATTCGGGCATTTCTATGACATTATTAGATAAGTAAATCACTAGTATAAACAACCAATACTAAATATCCATGGGATATCAACCTCTGTCTACGTACTGATAGTTTAATGAACTAATTAATGGTCATCAGAAATGTTAATGACGTCTAATGACTTATTGATGGGTTTCTTACATCGCAACAGAAACATCCATACAAATCATCTGCTCTTAGCTAAGAATGCTTACAATAACAACAATGAAAATAAAATAAAAATAAGTTAAATAATTCATTGTTGATTTTACTTTTACAATTTCGGTGGAAACAAATCGATATTATAAAGATTAAATTTTGTTTATCTGAAAAAGTTTATACTTTGTATTAGTATTTCATCTTCCTGATTCATTTTTAATTAATTATTTGTTAATTCTTAAGACATCGAGGGTCTTCCATTTTAATATAAATATACATTTTAATAGTTTATTTTGATGTAGACAATTCACATTTCTTATGTACGTTTGTAATTTTTTTAATTTTAAATATCACGCAGTCTTTGTCAGCTTTTAATTTTTTGATTTTTTATATAATGTTTTAACCATACCAATTAAAAAGAAATATTACGAAATTACTGACTAGACCTTCAATGAGAGTCGTGCGACAACCACAAAAATACTTACTCGGTTAATATGTTCCAGCATTTTTGAGTCCTAATTAAAATAGTACTTTAACTAACTTTGATCGATAATTGGATCTATTGTGCATCATAAGGTTTAAAGAATAATTATGGGTGGAGGGTCGGCCTTAAAATTATATTCGTATGATTTGATTTCAAGTATATGTAATAAACCAAGTCTTTTCTATATTTAAAAAGTGTTCCAGTATATTGATATTAATGCAGTTACTTTCAGTTGTATTATTTTATTATTGTAATCTGTGGACACGGTTAAAGGATACATATAATAATATGAAAGGTAAAATATATGAACTAAATGATAATTGAAAGGTCACCGAACTTAACTCGTAGATTAGAATGCATTCGCAGGGTATAGTATAGCGTTTTAAAAATGTTATGAGAAACAGTTTAGATTAAATGGTTATGTGTCCATTATTAAATATTTTGTCGAATGGATTAAGTAGTTTATTTTGTTTAACTTTTATTTAATTATCTAAACGGATCTTGACCCTCTAGGTTCACGTTCGCTCATAATCCGTTGTCGAAATATTTGATAGGCTGTGATTCATTCATACTCACGACCCCTCTAATAGTAGTCAGAAGGTTAAGTTCAAGATTTATGAAGTGTTCGATGTCAATTCATTGGTTCGTTTAGTTCATTATCTATTATAAAAACACTAAATATTCACATAATGTACAAGTTCTACAAAAACGTGATGAAATCCATCAATGTAATTATCTTTCGTCATCAGGGGCCTTTAACTTTTATAAGTCATTTTTTATTTAAATCTAAGTTTATAAAAATTCAATTGTGAAGTCTTTAAACAAATTTTGCCTAAAATTAATCTGAAATGTTTGTATTGACAACACGCATCCATTTATCTTGTTTGTTGCGCCGTGTTATCTTCACCTACGGTCATGGTTCTAACAATATATTTTTTTGGACATGGCGAGATAAATTCGTCAAAATTAGGAGATTATTACTCCAACACTTTCTCCTCCATACACCATGCAGGTGGAGAGGTTGACGCGAAAAAAATCTGGACTTCTCATAATGCTAGTGATTTTATATAATTTTGAAGTGAAAATATTCCTGATATAGTGGCCAATTTGATTGTTATTATTCGGTTTATAACTTCAATTGTACGTACATTAGAACATAATTTGATCCTGGATCGAGTTTTACGTAATTATTATATGGTTATTATTGTGACACGCACAAAGTATAATGATTAGTTGAAATACCTGGCAGTTATTGTTTATTCAGCATTGCCATTAATTCTAATGGTGGTCCAAAAAAATATTATATAGAAAAGAAATACTGTTGCATAAAAAATGAAATAAGTCACAACATTGATAAATAATTTAAATTATTTACCAACCTAAAGAAATGTTTTATCGAATTGTGAAATGATTCAAGTTCATAGATGTTAAGAATAAATACAATTTATATGATTTTACTCCACAAATAACTACAATCAAACTTCATGTCGCTATTAAATTTATATATTACATATAAAAGTTTCTTTTACGAAACTTTATAATTTATCATAACATTATATTAAGAGTCCTAGGAAGAAAATTTGTTTTTCAAAATGAAGAGGAATCAACTATAGTTACATTGAACTTTTCGATCAAATCACAACTACAGGTATTTATTAAGTATTCACAATAGTGAACTATTATTGGGTATACAATCACTAGTATCATTTACTAAATAAACCGTTGATGAAATTAATATAAATCTATGTCAGTCGATCTCAGAAATATAGATTGTCTGCTACAGATATATTATCTATGGATCACGTGGTATAATATAGTATCATGTACTATGTAGCGCTATGATATATATATAGCTATTAGATTGTAGGAAAAGATGTGATACAAGTACTCACAGAGAAAACAGGGCGGAAGATGTGAACCGAGAGAGAGATGGTTCGGCACTGGCGGTACTCTCCCACCAACCGACGTGCCCTCTCCAATCCTCTATCTCACCATCTCCTCCTCGGACATCCACTTCTTCTGCCCTTCCGATACAACCATCTGTCTAATAATTGCATATCAGTGGCATGTGCATTGAAATCCCATGATATGATTTAAGGTGGCAATAAATATATAACACTGACCATAAGTGATCATTCTTTTTAAAGAAGCTGTGAAAATGAAGTACATAATAACATACATAAACTGCTATTTAAAATATTTATAAATACCTTTTTCGAATCACAATTTCATTGGCGATGATTTAGAAGTAATGTAGAGTGATCTCTGTCTATCCAGTAAAATTGTTGGGAGGCGCAGTCCTAATCTAGTAGTCAGGTGGCTTATGGCTAAATATAATGTTACCGCTACATAGCGGAAACAATCACCAAATTTGGTAAGAATGTATCTTAGGATACACTAGAATGTTAGCCATGGAACCCTCTGAAATTTGTGAAAATTCTCATGTATGGTACTAAAATCCAAAATGGACGACAAAACAGAAATCTATCACTTTTAACAAAATCTATTTTACTGATAATTTTAAATTAAAGATATAGATTAACTCAGCAGCCTGCAAACTTAACTTGGGATAGTTTATATATTAAATAAGAAACACTAAAATGTATCCAAATTCTTTATTACAGTAGTATATGAAGGAGTAGTACGAAAGGGGGTTCGATGTTACTTATGAATGTCAGTTTCTGTGTATGTTCAAATATGATTATTTTGTACTTCAATGATACATGAATAAAATACACAAGTCATTAACGTATATTTACTTAATGATCATTTACTAAATAAAAAATTTTGATTTTCGTAAACATGATCCTATTTATTGAATCATACATGATGACAATTTGTAAAATAACTAAAAACTACTAAAACAATATACATATAAATAGATTTAGAACTACTTGGAAATAATGAACCATAAGTAATAATTTGCAGTTTATTTTATTATTATTATTTTTTTTTTTAAGGTCCAATTGAAGGATGCTACGCTTTTTGAAACGTAAACCCTTAAATTTTGAGAGTTTATGTTTCCTCATAGATTACAATTGTCATTATAGAAAATAATAATCCAAATATATTTATATCTATTCATCCATTGGGATTTAGTATATAACAGTTATAATAATAACTACGTTTGCATAATGGAAAACGTTTATAAATATTTTATAGCATTTATTTAATATTTATACTACCTTATGTTAGATTTGTAGTATACTTAGTACGTTTAAAGGTGTGAATTTTTGTGTCATACACAGAAGTTGTTTTAAAAATTTCAGGGGGCTCCTTGCCTAACGTTTATTAGTATGTCCTGGGGTACCTTCACACAAAATTTGGTGCTGCCATGTAATGGCAATTTCGTTATGCCACCTGACTATATTTAGCTGAAGAGAAGTCAAAGTATAGATAGTTTATGATTTTATGGAAAATTATATAAAACCTTAGTTTATAAGTTGTTGTACTTAGGAAAAGAAGAATCAGTCGAAACAGAAACGAAACGAGATATCTAAATATGATGGAAAACCCTGAGCGCCATTTACTCTATGCATTATAAGGTAGTAAAACTACCATTGTAAATGTAAATATTAAATAAGGACAACCCTCCGAGGTGTCTGAAAAGAAGATGGCCTCGGGACCTTCTAATATAGAACTATAGTTGGAGTGCTACTAATGGGTAGTTTCTCTTCATGTTGTACATATCATGTCACTGTTTTCAGATTTACTTGTCATATAATACAGTTGTAAATTTCAATAAATATATTTTTAAAAGAAACTGAGGCAGGTGATTTAATTTTTCGAAATATATATTGCATTTGTAAGCTTTACAATTTTATTATCAATATAATGAAAGTGCCGCTATTTTTCTAGGAAAAAATTAAGTTTTTCTTTTAAACCTGGGAAAGAAAAAATATATATGTATTAAATCAAATGCTATAACTTATATGGAACCTCTTTGAACCTCAATATTTAACTAATTATTAGCATAGAATAGTCTTTTTTTCTAGGGCGACTTAATTGTAGTTTGTGATTGTGAGTTTTCGGTGAATGCTTAAGTGTAGAAAATGAAACATAAGTTGTTATTCGAATAGCATTTATTTATCGGTAAGTATATTGAGTATGTGTTCCTTGTGATCTCCATATAAAAAAAATTAACTTTAAAAAAATACTCATAATGCCTTTTTTCAATTATTTTTAAAAGCAATACAAATATATTCTTTTACGCTATGAGTTAATGGAGTAGCTTTCAGTGCATAATTAACTACTATTTAATAATTAGCACTAATTTATTGTCCATCTCATTTATTTTATGCTAATGAGTCTATTTAACATAATAAAGCTTTGAAGTTATTTATTTTTTATTAGAGTTTGTTTACTTGCATTTCCTTTTACTTTTCAAGTTCGTACCAGATAAAATGTAATCTCATTTTTTTTAATAAAGGTTATGTGGTGTATATTCATTACAAAATATTATTATAATATATAATATTAAATATTAACGGTCAAGTTCTGAAATATTTTCTTTCTGTATTTATCGGGTATTAATTTATATTTCCATGGCCTTTCACTCTAAATATTTGAGAGCAATTGGAGTCAAGAAGGGTTTTTAAAATTGGGTAAAGTTTAGAAATTAGCATTGGGTTTATTATATGGGGTTTATGAATAGATATATAAATTGAAAAAATAAATTTTAATAATAGTTTTATTATATAGTATTATTTAGTATTTTGAAAATTACTGGAATAGTACCCTGCCAAAGTACTGCACACTCAATAAAAATAATTATTATAAAGCGCTGAACTGCAGGAGGTTCCCATCAAACTGGGGATGAACTGATTTACAAATTACCTTTAGTTTTAATATACTCCAGTTTATGTTTGTTGCCGTAGTTAATGACTCTCCATTTGCAATTCTATTTCTCTGCCATAGTTATTTTTCCAAGAAGTAGTATTCGATTCAAGTTTTATTAACGTTTCGCCAGAGCCCAGTGCCCCATTTTTTATATTTTTTTTCTGTAAGAACATGAAGATAGTGAAGCCTTACGTACGAGGATAACAATTAGGCAGCGACAATAGTACAAGTGTTCAAAAAAGGAATTATAATGGTTAGTGTTCGATTTCCCAAAATCCCCTTCCCTCAAATGTTGAAATGGATGAATAATTTTTCTTTTTATCTTTCGTATTTTTATAATTAATATTTTTCCACTCAACTAATTTAATATGTCAGTAAGAAAAATGATGTTTACACTTTATTTTTTTCTGACTGGGGAGAGCAATTGGAATCTCAAGATTCGTTTGAAATTGAAAAAAGACTCACGTAGGTTGGAGAGTAAATATTAGTTAAGGACTAAAAAAAAAAAAAAAAAAAAAATAAATAATAACATTTGATGACAATGTTTTTAAATATGAATAGTTTTAATGAAAATAAATCAACATTTGCATTCCTTACTTAAACTCCATAGTTAATGTACCAGTGCATGTTTTTTCATTAAAATGTGTCATATAGAATCCTGCAAAATATACATTAATAACCATTATATTCACTGCTAGCACCTCCAAATATGCTATGAAACATATAAAATATTCAAAATTATATATTAGTGTCCCTAAAAAAAGTTTGTAACTGAGAAAAGGCTTGTTGAACATTAAGAAGTAAACGGAAATGATTTATATTTATTTTTAACAAGAAACGATTAAAAAACTGATAAAAACGTGTATATTATAAGAGTTAAGCACAGGAACGAATAAAAAATAATTCATAAGTAATAGTCAGTGGTACAGAATATTTTTTATTTTAATTAATTATTTTATTAATCAAGTCGTAATTCAACATAAATAATAATAATTTATTATTAACTTTCGCCTGAAACTTCGTTAGTAGCTTTATCTCATAGTATCCTACAAATCTTTCATTGACAAAAATTCTTGGAATTGTGGTGTTATCAATCTGGAGATTGGCTAAGTTTGTCGTGTTAATTAGGTACTAAAAACTCGTAAATACCCATTTGCTTTTCACTTCAATCGTAAGATAATTTGAGCACAAAATCGAGAAAAAAGGTGGTTTTCAAAAACATGGAGATGTTGGGTGTGATCTACACTCCCAAAATTAGAAAATAACCGTTCTACATTAACAAACGTAAGGTGTGCAGATTGGTAATTATTAAAACATTAGCGATATATGGCATACTCGAAACTTGTTTTCATATTTGTTGAAAAAATCAAAAAACAATTGGTTCACTTCTGTTAAAACCGTCTAAATTATCCGTTTTCTCCTTCTTATCTTATTAAATTAATGGTTATTTATATTTTATTTTTATATTCTACAAAAGGTTCAACTGTTGGAAATTCATAGATCTTAGTCAACATTGCTTTCTAGGTTTAAGATAACAAAGAACAGTTTAAAGCAGGGTTTGCATGAAACTTTTTTTTTTAAAGTTTCGGTATCACTGAAATTTTTATTGTCGATAATTTTCAGATCTTTCGGAACTAAAACTTTTCCCTATCAACTTTTATAGTTATGGTTTTAAAGAAATTTTATTTTTAAAAGACTTTTGCATAAAAGTTCTATCAATTTCGCTAAAATGAAACATTAGAATCATTTATAATTCATTTAAGACAAATTATAATTTTAATGAAAGCCCAATTAATGTTTATTTGTCATTTAACGGTGTTTTTTTTAAAATTCAAATAATATAATTTAAACTTTTAACTTTAATCATAAATCTGTAATTATATTACAAACAAAGAATATCATATATCTGAATAAATAAAAAAAAAATAAGATTTTAAGATTACGAACAAGTTTATAAATGTTAGAACTTTTATTTTATGAACCTTTTTCCTAAAACGTTTCACAAAAACTGTTAAAATGGAACTTTTTAAAAAGGTTCCATACATGTTTCAACGCTGGTTTAAAGTAACGAATATAATGATTTATGGAGTTAAGAGGCTGTTTGTGTGAATTATTTACGAATATAATTTGTGAATATGTTATTTTAGGTATAGGGGATACATTTTATCCAGCATCA